CAGAATGCTGTTGTTCCAAGGTTGTGTATGTATATCACTGTTTATTTGGAACATTATTGTTCTAAGGTGTGTACAGATTACTATTTACCTCTGTCCCCTTTAGTCCTGCATACCTGCCTGTGTCTTCCCTTGTCTTCATCATTCTTCTGCTTGCCTCCCTCTTCATTTATGTTGCCCTCCCCATCACACGAATTAACATGTGGCACCTTAGGAAAAGCACTTGACCTCAAGGTCGGTTTGAACTACAGTGTCAGTGGTTCATACTCACCAGCCACTCCACAGAAACCATACACAGGGTCGCCATGTGTGGGCACTGACTTGATGGCACTTAACAACAACAACCCTCTAGTCAGTGAATTACTTTCCCTTGCTTCCCACCCCTGGTAACCATCAAAGAGCATTTCTTTTAGTATGAATACCTTTTCTTGAGTTCTTACAATAGTGGTCTCATACAATATTTATCCTTTTGTGATTGACTAATTTCTCTCAGCATAATGTCCTCCAGGTTCTTCCATGTTGTGAGGTGTTTCGCAGATTCAGCAGTATTATTTAGCATTGCATAATATTCCATTTTGTTTATCCATTCTTCCATTGATGGGCACTTAGGCTGTCTCCATCTTTTTGTTTCTGTGAACAGTGCTGTGATGAACATCAGTGTGCATAGAGCTATTCGCATCCTGGCTCTTATTTCTTGTGGCTATAGACCAATTAGAGGGATTGTTGGGTCATACGGTATTTTTATTTCTAACTTTCTGAGGAAGTGCCATACCATTTTCCACAGTGGTTGAAACATTTTACAATCCCACCATCAATGTAGGAGGGTCCTAGTCTCTCCACACCCTCACCAGAGTTTATTGTTTTCTAGTTTTTAAAACTTTGTTATTTAATGCTGGGGTGAGCTGATATCTCACTGTTGGTTTGATTTGCATCCCTCTAATAGCTGATTGTGGAGTCCTGGTGTGGTGCTATGTGGTCACTGTGTGTCAGAATTGACTCAACGGCACTTAACAACAAAACAACAATGGCTAATGGAGTCCTGGTGTGGCATTGTGGGCTAATGCATCAGACTACAAAGTCATTTGAACTGCAACATCAGTGGTTCAAGCTTACCAGCTGCTCCTTGGAAACCCTATACAGGGTCACTATGGGTCGGAATCGACTCAATGGCATTTAACAACAACAACACAACAACAATGGTTAATGATCATGAACATTTCTTCTTAAGTTGTGGGCTGCCTATGTCCTATGCCATTTTTTAATTGGATTACCTTTTTCTTGTAGAGGTGTTATATATAGTTTTCTATAAATTTTAGAGATTAGTCCCTTGTCTGATAATGTCAGTAGAAAAAGTTTTTACCACAGCCTATAGGCTACCTTTTACTCTTTTGGTAAAATTTTTGGATGCACAGAAGTATCTGATTTTTAGGAGGTATCAGTCATCTATTTTGTGTTCTACTGTTTGTATATTTTTGGTGACATTTGATAATATATTTATGCCATTTATTACAGCTTCTAAGTTTTTGTCTGTATTTTCATTGATGATATTAAGAGTTCTAGGATTTACATTTAGAGTTTTAATCCACATTGAGTTTGTTTTTGTATACGAAGTGAGAGGTGGGTCTTGTTTTGTTCTTCTGCAAATGAATTTCCAGTTTTGGCAGCATTATCTGTTGAAGAGACAATATCTTCCCTACTTAATATGTTTTGGCCCTTTGCAAAGATCATCAGACTGTATGTGGATGGATTTGCTTTGGGTTCACAATTCCGTACCATTAATCTATGTATCTTTCATTGTATCTGTTTCAGGCTGTTTTGACCCTTGTGGCTGTATAGTAAATATTGAGATCAAGGAGTGTTCTTCTTCTTAAGCAATGCTTTGCTTCTCCCAGGTTCCTTTCCTTTCCACATAAAGTTAATGATCAGTTTTTCCATCTCTTTAAAGACTGATGTAGGAATCTCGTATGGGATTGCATCATATCTATAGATGCTGTAGGTTGTGTTGACATTTTCACAATGTTAAGTTTTCCTATCCATGAGCATGGTATACTCTTTCATTTTTGTAAGTCTCTTTTACTTTCTTCTAGTAGTGTTTTCTAGGGTTTTTTTATATAGGCCTTTTGTTTCTCTAGTATGATTTATTCGTAAGTATTCATCTTTTGGGTGGCTATTGTAAATGGTATTGTTTCCCTAATTTCTTTTTCAGAGTGGTCTTTATTAATATAGAGGATTCCAACTGATTGTTTTGTATATTGATCTTGTATCCTGTCACTTTGCTGAATCTTTCAATGAGTTCCAATACTTTATGTGCTGAGTTCATTTTGTTTGTACATTTAAAAAATCAATTTCTTCACTGCTTTTGTTTTAATATTTACAAAAATTTATGGTTTTCCCTTTTCTTAATTTGATGTGAAGACATATTAATTTTCTTAGAGGTTACCCTACAAGGTTTATTAATTTCCTCCCCAGTTCAAAGCAGTCTGCTTTATCTTGAAATCTTCTAGATGTCCTTGACATTTGGAATTCTGTAACTATAATTTTCCATGTTTTTGCTTTATACTTGTCTTGTTTATAAGTTGATGTCACTGATTCCATATTTTCCATCTTGCAGGTTTGATTTACTTTGTATACTTCTATATCTAAATTGAATTCTGGATGGTGTTGCCATATGTGTCAGTCTCCAGTTGTTGTCTGCTGTTATTAGTCCTCAATCAAAGAATTTCCTTCAGTATTTTTTGTAAAGTTGCTCTGGATTTTTACAAATTCCTTTAATTACTGTTTATTTAGAAACTTTTAAATTTTGCTGTCATATTTGAGGGACAGTTTTGCTGGTACATGAGTCTTGTTTGGCAACATTTTTTCTTTCAGAGTTTTGTATATGTCTCCCCACTGTCTTCTTGCTTGCATTGTTTCTGCTGAGAAATTTGAGCTTAATCTTACTGGTTTTATTTTGTAGGTAGCTTTTCATTTTTCTCAAGCTGCTTTCAGGATTCTTTCCTGTCTTTGATTTTGGAGAGTTTGGTTATGATATGTCTTAATAATTTTCTTCTGGGCTATATCATGTTTGGGATTCATTCAGCTTCTTGAGTATTTATCTTCTCATCTGTCATGATGTGAAGTAAGTTTTCTTCCAACAGCTCTTTGACTATCTCTTCTGTGCTTTTGTTTCTTCCTGTTCTGGAATTTTAGTCACTCATAGTTTATTCCTCTTCATGCTAACCCACATGAATCTTATACTTTCTTCAGATGTTTTCTACTTCTTTCTGATTGATCTTCTAGTTTACTGGTATTGAATGATTTAGCTTCAAGCTAATTTGGGCTTCCATTGATTCAAATCTACCCCTTAGCCCTTTCAATGTGTTGTCCACTGCTGAAATCTTAGTATTAATCTTCTGGATTTCTGTTTTCAGATTCTGTATTATATTGTCTCCAGTCCTTTTTATAGTTTGATGGTTCCTGTAGTGCTTTTCTGAATTCTTCCTTTTTTTCCCTTGACCTATCAATCCTTTGGAGGTACATAAATACCATTCTCTTGAATTCTCTGTCATGTGGTTCCATTGCCTTTTATTCCTCAAATTTTTTTTCTAACCCTTGGTCACTTGGTTGAACCACTCTCTTGTTTCTTCATATGAACAGAAATTTTTGCTTTTGAGACATTGTGATTTGTTGTATTTGTATTGCATTGATGATTGTATGATGCTTCCTAGTGGGTGTGCTCAGGATATGAGCTTATACACCGTTATCCGTTTATGCAGTTCAAGTCAGCTTAATTGATGTTTATTGTTGTTGCTGATCTGGTGGATAGCAGCTGGTATTGACTCTTACCCAATGGGTGGAGCCATAGAAGCGGTGGTTGTGGCTGGGCTGTGTGGACACTGTTGCCCTCTTAATCTCTGTGAGCCACAGGCATGTTTCTACAACACCAATATGTTTTCTCATCTCTGAAGCCACTCACAAAAGCTCAAGTGGCTGTGCCCATGTGGTTTGTGGGTACAGGTCAGCACTCTCCTTTTTTGTCACATCCACTCAGCTCTCTCTCCTAGTAAGCATTCAGTCCACTTCTCTATCCTTTCATATAAATCTCAGAGGCCTAGAAAAATCATCTGCATCTGTTTCATTTTGTTTTCCATATCTTTGTTGTAGAGGGTCCATACAATCTTTCTGCCTAATCCGCCTTCTTGCCACCTCTCCCAACTCTAGATGATTCTCAATTGTATAATATAATTTGGAAATCCCAGCTGCCCCTTACTTTTCCCCTTATTTGGAAATCCCAGGATCTTAAAGTTGTCAGGATGTTCAGTTGTGTTGAGTTTTCTATTATCATTCAATTAATTTTATTAGTTATAAAGGTTTGTTTCATATGACCCTGTCCTTTAATTATTTGACCAGGTGATACATAAGGCATTTGGTTTCTTATCAGCTCTTTTCTTTCTTTGTGCCTTTAGCATGGTGTATTACATTTCTGTGGATTTAATGTCCTGGCCCCTCAAATCAGTTATGCACCTGAGTTTGCATCCGAAGAAGAAAGAAAGGAAATGGTGGCATCCTGGGCCCAGAGGCTGAAGACCATCTGGACAGAGGAGCCCATCAACTGCACTTCACCTTGGTACTTTGGGCAGTAACACTTTGTGCCTTGCACACAACACAAGAGCACCATGATACAGATCCAAGCAAATGCAAGGAAGAGATGCTGCTGTAATGAAATAAAATTACAAAAGAGCTACTGGATATGTTTCAAGATGTTCATGGATGAGTGTCTTCAGGATTCTGTACCACCCGATTACAGTCAAACCAGACACATATGCATTTGCATTTCTGTCTGATTCATCAGGAAGCCATTCTTTTGAGGATCAGTGGGTCAGGGTTTGTTGTGCGTTTGAGGAGCAGAGGTTTCTCAGCATTTCCATCATTGCTGTCTTATATGCTTGCAGTAGTGATGGATGAGCCATCGTTAGGGAAGCATACTTGCTTGACTTGATATGTAGCAAGGAAATCTTCGGTGATCTTGGGAAGCCATGTCTTCTTGTCCGGATCCCATCTCTAGGGGGTGTCAGTTGGCTGCTATCCTAATGAATTGACTTCTCTGCTGGGATCTTTCTGATGCTACCCTCTTCCTGTCTCTGTACAGTTCTGACATTCACAATTGTTCATCAAACTCATGTTTCCCATTCAGACTGTTGGTGCTCATACTTGCTACCCAATCCAGGGCAAAGAGACTGAGAGGGTACCAAAGTCAAGGGGTTCCAAAATCTCACCTCCTTTTGTATTTTCACATTTTCTTGCTTTCTGGTATGCTAATACTTTCTTAGGTATCCTGGGCTGATGTTTCCCTCATCAATCTTCTGTCTCTGGAATTTCTCAGAGTTTCCAGTCCTTTTAGAATGGTACTTGAGTTCACTCAATGTTCTCAAATCTGCCATGTCAATAATTGTGTTCTATTTCCACACCTGCACCCTCATCCCTTAGCTCCATAAATGGCAGGAATACTCATTCCACATGCAGGTCCAACACCTGGAGCTCATCTCGACTTACCTTAATTCCTGATTTTTAAAACCTTATTGCTGAAAAGAAATTCAGCATCACAAGGGCAGTGAGAATTGTGCTTTAATAAATAAGTAAATAACCACAGCCCCCACCTGCCCTCCACCCTATTTGAGGGGTTGTTGTTGTTAAGTGCCATTGAGTGAGTTCTGACTCATAGCGATTCTGTATAGGGTTTCCAAAGAGCAGCTGGTGAGCTTGAAACACCTATCTTGCAGTTCAAACCGAGCTTGCAGTCCAGCACATTAACCTACAGTGCCACACCGGGTCTCCTATTTGAGTGGAGGTTGGTATAAAAGAAATGAACTTAAGTTACTCCATGTAAGAAAGGGTTAAAAGGTTGACACAGTGTCAGCAGCCAGGGAGCTCAGTCTGTGTCTTGTTCTAAAGGGAGAGGGGAGATGTGTATGCCTCATGAGGGAGAAGAGGAGCCCCAGACATGGTGGTGAGGTGGGGATATAGGACAAGATGAAATGTGAGGAGTTTGGTGTTAAGGATGGTATGGGAACCTTGGGGACAGCCCATTTCAGTCCCAGGTAGCCCTCTGCTCCATCAGTTGTGTGCCAAGATCATTTAATTTTGCCCTTAGAGGAACGGGTCACTTAAGTCATGCCTTAAAGTCACTTGGATCCTACCAGTCTAAGAGTACTTGGCCTGAGATCCTGGGAAATGGTTCCATCCAGTTGAGAGCGATCAGATAATCATTCACAAACACACCTGATGCTTAGGCCAGGCAACTCCATTTATAGGAAGGGATTCTAAGGACATGCACAAAACTAAATTACGTAATTTTTGTTTTTAACCAAACAATGTTGTTGTTGTTAGTGCCATCAAGTCTGTTCTGACTCATAGCGACCCTGCAGAAGGTCTCCAAGGAGCAGTTGGTGGGTTTGAATCACCAGCCTTCTGGTTAGCAGTCTGGTGCTGATCCTACAGTTAATTGTTTAACGGAACTGGGGATTTTTACAGAACTAACTTTATGAAATGAAATTGACAACAAGTGGACAGGTTAGACAGAAAGCTCTGAGGATGGCGAGTTTGGGTAAGTGGGGGAACAACATAGAAAGGCAGGGTGGAATGGCTGCACAGCTTTAAGAACATCATTAGCGTCACTGAATGGTACATGCAGAAATTGTTGAATTGGCTTATATTCTGCTGGGTATCTTTGCAACATCGACAAAACATAAACTATTAAAAAGAAAAAAGATTAGTAAAACACGAAGGATATTAAAACAAATGAAAAAAATGGGATTTTTAGTAATAGTTTTAAAAAAAAAAAAAAGCAAACATGTATTGTTTGTTGTTGTTGTTAAGTGCCGTCGAGTTGGTTCCGACCCATAGTGACCCTGTATAGGGTTTCCAAGGAGCAGTTGGTGAGCTTGAACCACCGACCTTGCAGTTCTAAAGGCTTTGCAGTCTGGCGCATTAACCCACAGTGCCACACCAAGATTCCACTGGATGTTGAATATGTGTCAGGAGCTGATATGAATTGTTTACTTGCATTTTTAGTTATTTAGCCCTCATAACAAACCTATAAGCAAGTACTAATTCCACTGTATAGATTAGGAAGCAGAGGCAAAGCTTGGTGAAGATACTCACAGCTATCTAAGGGCAGATCTAGGATTGGAACCCAGACCATCTCATTCTCAAGTAACCAAAATTCCCATGCTTGGGACGCTACCCAGAGAAACAGTGATGGCAGAGATTATGAGGTTGAGAGATGGAGCAGCTGGGGACTCTAGACCCAGAGAGGAAGAGGGGCTTTGTGCTGACAACCTAGGGGACAGGCTTGCAGGGTATACCCTTTGGTTGGTTGATGATGCATGGAGGAGATTGTAACAATGGCAACAAAACGATATACGATAGGATGAATGTAAAGCTAATGTTCTCCCATGTAAACGATCACATAATTCACAATAAAACATCAAAAAAAAAAATGCTCAAACACAAACCAACTCACAGCATAAAACATAAAACTTCACACTAAGGATATTTACCTCCATTTCTCTAACCTACTATAGCAGCTCAGACTTTCAACAAAAAATTACAGGGCATGCTTAAAGGCAAAAAACAACAATTGCAAATTTAAGAAGAAGAACAACAATACACAATCTGAGGAGAGAGAGAACACACTTCAGAACCAGACTCAAATAGGACAGAGATTTTGGATTGATCAGACCGGCAATTTAAAATGTTGTTGTGTTGTTGTTATGTGCCGTGGAGTCAGTTCCGACTCATAGTGACCCTACACAGGGTTTCCGAGGCTGTAAATCTTTACGGGAGCAGACCGCCTCATCTTTGTCCCGTGGAACTGCTGGTAGTTTCGAACTACTGACCTTGCAGCTCGCAGCCCGATTCGTAACCACTACACTACCAGAGCTCCTTGTTATAGTCCTGATTAATATGTTCCATGCTCCAATGGAAAAAGTGGACTACCTGCAAGCACATAGGGGTCATCTAAGCAGAGAGCTATAAACTCTCAGGAAGAATTCTCAAGGAAAGGTTAGAAATCAGAAACACTGTAACAGAAATGGAGAATGCTTTTAATGGGTTTACATTAAATTGAACATTGCTTTTCTGTTATTGATCAAGATTCAGTGAACTTAAAGATATGTCAATAGAAATTTCACAAACTTAACAACAAAGAAAAAAATGAATAGAACTGTGTGACAGATTACAAAAAGTGTAATGTATGTATAATTAGTACTCAGGTATAAATCTAGTGTGTACAACAGCTGTATAAGGAAAATCACAAAACTCTGATGAGTTTTGTGAAACCAAAGAAGATCCAAATAAATGAAAAGATACTCCATGTTCATGGATAGACGACTCAATATTATTATGATGTTAGTTCTTCCCAACTGGATATTTAGATTCCATGCAATCCCAATCAAAATCTATGTGTCGTATTTTGTGGCTATCAGCAAACTTATTCTAAAGTTTATGTAGAAAGACAAAAGTCAACACAATAATTAACGCATCTATATA